GTGTGCGTGTGCGTGTGCGTGTGCGTGTGCGTGTGCGTGTGCGTGTGCGTGTGCGTGTGTGTGTGTGTGTGTGTATATATGTATGTCATATATAACGAAATGTTTTCTTATAGGTTCGTGGTGATCTAAATACACTTTGTTGGATGGAGAACAATATATCGATCGATTCTCATCGCGAAGATTTGGTACATGTGATTTATTCATCCATCAATTTCAGAGATGTAATGTTAGCCACTGGTAAATTAAATTCGTATCCGGCAATGTCGCAAAAACAATTTCAACGTATGTCTCTCGGAATGGAATACGTAGGATTCGATGCCAATGGACGACGCGTAATGGGACTTTGTGCTAATAAGTAAATATTATAATTGTCCAATTATTATATTATGTAAAATATCATTGATTAACATTGCTCTCTTTCTAGGTGTATAGCAAACGTCGTTGTGAAAGACAAAGAATTATGTTGGAACATACCCGATACATGGACATTCGAAGAAGCGGCAACAGTCCCGTACACTTATAGCATATGTGTTACTTGGCCTTATACATTTATGGGAAAATGAAGAAAGCCGATAAGATACTTATACATTCTAGTGCTGGAGATATTGGACAAGCAGCTATCTATCTTGCTCTTAGTGAGGGATGCGAAATATTTACTACCGTGGATGCAATCAAAAAGCGAGAATTAAAAAAAAAATGTTTTCAACTATCATTGATGAGCACATTGGAAATTCTCGAGATATCAGTTTCGAACAAATGATAATGTCGCAAACAAACAGGCGCGGCGTGGATATCGTGTTGAATTCATTAACAGAAGAAAAGCTGATTGCGTCCGTTCGTTGTCTAGCACGAAGGGGTCGTTTCCTGGACATTGGCAAGTTTAATCTTGCTTTTAACATGATGAAAATTTTCATCTGAATTGGTCTGATAGTCCCATTTTTTAAACCATTAGCCATTATTTTGGACAATAGAGACTTATGCTTGTGATAACCGACAAACATGTTATCTAGTAGAATTTTGTAGAAACTGATGCCTTTTTTTTGAAATACTGATATATCTAGAGAATTGTTAAAAGCAAGATTAAACTTGCCATTGTCCAGGAAACGACCCCTTCGTGCTAGACAACGAACGGACGCAATCAGCTTTTCTTCTGTTAATGAATTCAACACGATATCCACGCCGCGCCTGTTTGTTTGCGACATTATCATTTGTTCGAAACTGATATCTCGAGAATTTCCAATGTGCTCATCAATGATAGTTGGAAACATTTTTTTTTTAAATTCTCGCTTTTCGATTGCATCCACGGTAGTAAATACTTCGCATGTAGCAAACAGCTGATTGTACACACGCATTCTCTCTCTCTCTCTCTCTCTCTCTCTCTCTCTCTCTCTCTCACTCATTGACTCTTACCTTGTATGTAGAGATTCGTTGCCCTCATACGACTCGATAAATAATATTTCCGTGTGACACGAGTAACCAGCAAACTTTTTTCACTCACAAATTGTACCACTTATCGAACTTTTACGAATT